AAATTATCACGACCGGCCGGTTGGAACCTGTTCCGGAAGGAAAGAAGACTCTGTCGCCATTACAAGGGGGGTGGAGGGAAATGTGAACTAGCATTCACCGTTTTGGCGGTGGATTTTGTTTAAAAGCAAGTCTTTGGGGCAACTTACGCGCCGGCGTCTGTCCGTCTCAATACCATCAGACATTGAGCATGGCCTGTGTGACACGAGTGCCTGTTTAGAGTCCGTGAGAGAAAAAAAATGGTTTTGCTGAGAAAGCTGTGAAAGGATGTGCTTTGCCTGACGCCTGGAGTCGAGCTCTTCTGATTCGTCCAACCCTTTGGAGGCCGGAATAAGCCAACCTGGAAAGAGGAAGGACGAATTTAAGTGGCACCAAGGGCGGGTGTTTGAGCGGATGCCCACGATGCCGTATGACCGAAGACGCTTTGTTCATTCCCCTTTTTGACGTGTCTCGAATGCCTCGTCCAATAGACACCCAATCACGAGCAAATGAGCATCAATAAAAGTATCCCATCTCACTGGTCTTCCTCCTCACCCCTTCCACTCGAGGGCTGATAGGTGGAGATGAGAACGTGATGGAGGACGGTGGACCCTTGGCCGCAGTGAGAGTGGCTGGAACCACTCCGACCAGATTAATTGAGCTATGCCTACTTTGCGATCGGCTTGCTTTAAATGCGGCCAGGGTGTGATTGTGTAAACGCCGTGGGGAGGGAGATGAGTTGATAATTTTTAGGGCTTAAGCTCAAGACGGGACCGGCCGAGTCCATGGGGCCTGTAAACCTGGTGTTGAATGGGGGCGTGGCTCCTCGCGGATGGTGAGTTGATCCGGGCAGATGAGATGAGACGAGACGAGACCGAGCCGAAATGTGGCGTGGCTCAGCAGCAGAAAGTGGCTGCTAATCTCACCTTCTTGCTCAGACTCGGTGACAACATCCAACCAGGCCTCATCTTTTCTCCATCCGTTTGTCACACTTCAAGATTCAAATGAGATACCTCAAAATGGCCAATTACAACATGTAAACTTTTTTGCGTTCACACCACATACTCCGCACACAGGTAAGACAGGCCAGCACACGAGTTTCCCACCTGACACACATGCACACACACACACTTACCCACAGCCACCAGCATCAAGGTATGCATACACACACATATATAGATACATACGCACGTATACACTTTAACAAGAACAGAACCGATTTGCGTGGTTTTTCTACCTTCATTTATCTCACAGAGCCCAGCATGCGCCCTCTTGATGGTATTAGTTCTCATGCCGAACCAAGTCCTCTGGCCTAAGACATTACACGTGCGTGACGTGCTGGTGTGCATGTGAAGATCAGACTTTGGGACTTTCTCATGGGCCCAATCTCTGCTTTTCACAGTCTCTTCTCTCAGGACACACAAACACACAAACATTTGGGCACTTAATTTTCTATTAGCCCAAAGTGGAAAGCAATTCCGCAGCACTGTCACTTTGAGATAATGTCAGCCAGAGGTTTTTTTACTCGACTTCCCATCCAATAAGTTGTGGATTAGCGAGAAGAGCCCTGATGAGACAGTGGATGGAGGGCGGGGATGAGCAGACTTCACCCATGAACGACTTCAGTGTGAAGTGAGAATCTTCGGCCCTGTCTAATCTCAGCCTCAAGGCAAAATGGCGTCACACCCACTTGAGACCAGAAGAAAGATGGTTCGTTTTTTTGCGCTCTGAAATTCTGGTAGGATAAAGTGGAGGGGTAGGGGTTACTGTTGCCGGTGTTGGCTTGAGCTTTGAGGTGGGCGCTCGAAAAGCTGAGAGCAAAAGAGACAGATGAAGTTTTCTCTCTTTCTGGGCCCTCCATGACACGTGATAGACAAGATGTTGATTGGCTTTCCTGTGAGCACATGTTTCTGGCTCGGATTTACATGCAATCCTGACACCAGCGAGACTCCTCAAGCCCGGCCAGGTTACTTTTACTAATCTGAGCAAGGCTAACAAACCAACCGTCACTTCCGGTCTCTGGAAGAGGTGTCTTCTCGGTCGAGTTGCGTTCTAGGTTCTCTAGGTTTGGTTCGGTTTGCGCTACTTTACTCCTTGTTGGAAATCCCTCCTGTTGTCCCAACAGCCAAGGAGCCTGAGGTATACTGGACAACTGCAGTGGTGGCTCGGTTAGTTCGAAGTTTTAAGGTTTTAACGCTTGTCACCGAGTCGAACTGTAGACTTTTAGAGACCAGCATCTGACCTGTGTGGCGAATGCAATCAACCAAGCCAGATACCGTTATCAGAATCCCGTTGGAAGGGCTCATGAGATGGTGAAGCGAGGTCGAAACCACAGTTCAGCCTAAGACGAGAAAAGTTGTTTGACAGCAAGACTAAATGAAATTCGATGGCATAACTAAATGGGATGTATTCACCCTATTTCATCTAAGGTGATGAAGGACTGGTAGTAGAATTTTCCCACAATGATATGAGT